CGGTACAACTCTCGATCGCATTGTGGATAAAGCGAATGAGTAGATCAAGTTCTCATCTAACGAAAACAAAATTATGGAAGCCAAAGTGAAATGGACAGAGAACAAAAATTTCCCACCTGCAATAGAAGCTATCGACTTTACGAATATTGAAATTAAAAAGCATCGTCTATTTGGGAATGAATACCTATATAAATCGTTAAAATTATACTAGTATTATTCTTCTTATCTTCTCAAATAACCAAAGAATTTTTTATCCAGGATGGTTTGCTAGGAAGTAAATATCAATACCAACCTTTCGGTAACAATTTTTGCCATATCAACCTTCTGGTGAGTAAAGCAGGGATAAAGTGATTTGTTTTAAGCTGAAGCTGAGAGAATCGATGAGGTTTAATCTTTACCCATAGAAAAACTAAAAAGAGAAGGTTTGAATAATAGGCGGGAATTGTTTCCTTGTTTGTAGTTTATCATATCGCGCTTCACGCGCTGCGAGCACTAAATAAAAGCCGTTTTTACACCCATATGATAATTAAAAAATGAATAAATTTTAAAGAAATCAATAATTTTACTAATGCAATCTTTTAAATATCACTTTAATATAATATAATGATCAAATACAGGGATAATTGTTATAAATTTATAAAGTTAAAGCTACATTTGAATATTATGAGGTGGTGTAAATCTGGCTTTGCTAATAAATTAGGTTATGTTACACTAAAACATGACAGTCGTGGAAAATGTAGGTAAGTAAAATTTAATTAATCTTATTTTTAATTTAGTTTTAGTTAAATTTAAGTAATTTATAGGTGTAAAAATATACTGAGGTCCTTAACGATGTCATTAACTTATAATAAATTCACATTATCATGTGCTGCTCCAAATTGCAGAAGCAAATATTATTTACATTCACTTAATAAGAAATTTTTTACTTTTCCGTCCATTATTACCCTTAGAGAGAAGTGGTTTGATATTTTAAATATTCCCTACACATCTAAAAAAAACTATAGTGCGAGGATCATTTTGACGAGAATGCCTTCACCAGCACTTTGCCTACTAAGCTCATTAAATTTGCCTTGCCTTTAGCGCCTTTAGAAGAGAATATTACTACTAATAATAATATTACATTAGATGAAAATTTTGAAAGCTACCTTCATCAAATTCTCTTGCAAAAATAAATGTAATTAGTAATGTTTTGATTAAACCTTCTGTTTCGAATATAACTTCAGCTAAAAGAAAGCTAGATTTTTTTAATGATAGAATTGAATGTGTTGAGGAACCTTTAATAAAGAAACCACGTGTAAGAACTGGTATTTTAAATCAAATTAATGCAACCACAATTGGTAATTTAACTCCTAGAAAGAGAAAATGTTATTATATTAATCGAGAGCAGCAAAACAAAATTTCAAGATTAAAAAATAGTTTATTAAAATCTAAAAATACAATTAAGACTGCTTTAAAATTATCAGAAACAAATTTATTTAAAAATTTTAGTTTAATTTTAAGATACACACTGCGCCTTTATTTTTTTTGTTTTAGTTATTCCTGAGTATGGAGATTTTTGGAATGGATATTGCAACTACAATGAACCAAAATAGATGGGTGAAGGGATAGTAAAGTGGTTTAGTGCCAGAGTTACCTAACCAACAAAATTTCAAAACAACTGGTCTTTGTTATTGTTTTAAAATCATTTCTATACATGCCAAAGTTACCTATTCCTTAAAATTATGTAGTTCATGACAAAATTAAATACTTATTTGACAAGTGACTATTTTTAAATTTTTCTTAAACTTTGATCTCAACCTAATTAATTATTTTTTAGCAACTCTGGCACTGGAACACCCAATAGAGCTTAAGAATAATAAAAAAAATTTCAGGTAGTAAACTCAATTTATTTTTAATGTGTACTTTTTGTGATAATGTGTAATTTTGTGATATTAGGTAATTTTATAGATATAAAATAATAATATTAATAACAATAATAATCGTGATTAGTGTAAACGTATATTTTTAAATTAACTTCAACCCTTGAACATTTTTCAACATATTGTGAATATGATGTTTAATATAATGTTATGATATAGTTACCTATTCTAAATAAAATAAACTTATTACAAATGTTTTTATTTTTCATTTAAAACAAGTGACATTTTCCGTTTTTCAGCATTTACTTACAATAAAAATTCATTTTACTTATTGATTGTTTCAATTATTGTAAGTAAAAGCTGTAAAATAGGAAAATGTTACTTGAAATTACTTCAAATTTCATAAATTTTAAAGCCCGCCATTTTTTAAATCGCTTTACCTAGTAGTTTTCTACTTTACCGACTGTACCGAATTATAGTTCATCATAACGCGCTCAGCGCGCCACTGTCGAGGTCAAACAAACTTGTTACCAACTATTTACAGGGGAACTGGCTACCCTGTCTTTACCAAGACCTCCCAATCGTAATTTACTAGCTCTTATAAAAGCAAAAATGTTTGCCTAAACGTTGGCTTTGGAGAAAAAGTTTCAAATAAATTTTTCCAAGCGAGCTGATAAGTCCTTTCTATTATAATTTTAATATTTGTCCCTGAAAACCTACGGACATAAATTGCTGCTATGAAAAACATTCGCAAAAATACGAAAGAAAACATACAATTTTGGTTTTATTCTCGGAGATGTAGTTTTATTTAATTTTAAAAAGTTTATTTTCTAAAATAAAACTTAAAACTTAGTTGTATACGGAAAAAAAATTGTAGAACAAATTTCTACAATTATAGATTTTTTCTCTAGAATAAATAGTACAAATAGGGACAAGGACAATTTGAAGTAAAAATTTACAAATATTTGTAGTGAATGTACTGTAGAGTTATTTATCTACAATATGTAATAAAAATATCCATATGTATTACAAGAATTGTTCTACAAATTGTTATAATTTTTACTATTCATTGTATGAATTTGTATTAAAAATGTATTGCGTTTCATGAAAATTAATACAAAAATATTACACAATAAATAGTAAAAATTCAAACAAATTATAGTAATTTTTAATAAAATCAATAAATAATTTAATTATCAAATCGATTTTACTTTTAATATAGATATTTGGCATACTTGACAGCTGATAAAATCGTAAAAAATGTCGTAAATAAATAAATAAAATCGTAAAGTCATAAATAGATTTATCCTCACACATATCCCAAAATAATCAGTAATATAAATTTTTACACCAACAGATCAATTTACTTGAGAACAAATCAATCTGTCCTAAGTCCTAGACCTAATAATAAAGGGTTACTTCAAAGATCTGTTTTGAGCCCTGTTTTATTTAATATCTACACAACTAATTACCATAATATTTAAATATATAATACATTATCATTTAATATTGTACAATATGCCGACGATTTCTGTATTTATACTGAACACAAAAAAAAAATAAAAGCTCCTTAGAAAATTTAAAAAAATGTTTATTTTTTTTTTAATTTATGTTTTAAATATTTTTTGCATCTTTTCTTCTATTCTTTTTTTTTAATATTTTTTTTCAAATCATCTTTTTGTATCTTTTATTTTATTTTCTTTATCTACTAGGTATTAAAATCAATTGATAAACAATTTATTTATCAAATCGATTTTACTTTTATCATAGACATTCAGCATATTTGACAGCTGATGGCGTAAATAGATTCATCCACACACATGTAATATGCGGCACTTTCTATAAGACTAATAATGCGATATATGTGGAACTTTTCTATATATGATCGTAAGAAAGGGGCACCAAAGAATTGCATACTTGTATTATTGTTGACGTCGACTGATTTGTCAAACGAACAGCTTCCTCTAAAATTCCTTAGTATGCAAATTCGTGCAATCACATCCAGAGAATTTCGTTACGGAAATAACAAGTTCCTTCCAAATGATAGCCATGTAGCTGGGGTGAGAGAATGAAGCCATTTGCTTCGTAATAGCATTGTTTTTGGTATGGGAATGAAGTTAAAACGTAAGTAGTAAACATCGTTACATACTCAAATGTTATGTTAATATTCTCCATATGGCAGAATTAAAGATATTCCTGGCATATTGCACCACATTCGTGTAAAATATAAGTCATAATTTTATTTTCTTAACGACCACATATGACACTGTTTAGTCTTGGTAGAAAATTTCCTATATCATACGTGTTTGGATGAGAATAGTCTTTCCACATCATCTGTGAAAGTGTCAAATATGTTAGATGCATGACTTCAATATTGATTTATGTAATGTCCATATCAAAAGTAAAGTGACTTTGATGAATTAAATGTATTTAAAACTTAGAATACAAACTAGTGAGGAAGGATGGTTACGCCGAGGTCAGTTATCCAAAAAGGTTACTTGACATTAGTATTTACCAGTGGTGTATCATATTTATATTGTTTAAAAGTTTAATATTTTTATTAGATTAAAAATTAATTAAAACAAAGTCTTTTTGAAAGTGGATAATTGTATTTTAGGATTTTTACAATTTACCAACATTATTTTTATTGATTTATCAAATGTTTACCCAGTCAACCTTCTTTCCCAAATCAAAAAAATGGTTTATTGATTATTTTGGTTTATAGAAATGCAATTGCTCTTTAAATACCTTTTTATTGCAATTGTAGCTATAAAAATACTTTACCGAAAACAAAAATAAATGAAAAACATTTTAAATTATAATTCATACTCAAACACCGACATGACCTAAAGATCTGACTTGGTGACCAGCGGAGTGGCGCCATCTACATGTCATCTCTATCGCAATCAAACCCAGTGTCCATTATGTTGTTTATAGAGGATGTTTCTTTATTTTTATGAAGAAGTAGTATTTGAAATGTCTTTGACATTGGTTGCAGAAGACTTATCGGTTTATAAGATGTAGCTTTATCCAAATTATAAGACATCCATGCTTTAATGGGTCACCCTACTAAAAAAGTTTATTATTACTATACTAGAATTAAATTTAATATTTTATAATAATAATCATATTTTGTTTCAGAAGTGTTCCCCTTAAAAAATGTCCTACTAACAATTGAACCGCAAGTGGTACCAATAGGAAACAGCTCCACCTTAAAATGCACGTACGACTTACAAGACGATGCCCTCTATACAGTAAAATGGTACCGAGGAGTGTACGAATTTTATAGATATACGCCCAGTGAGCACCCCAAGAGCCAAAAGATATTTCCCTATAAAGAAATAAATGTCGATGTAAGTATTCAATAATTAATTACACAGTTTAATTTTAGAGATTCAAAAACAAAATAATAATAACAATCATAATTAAAAAATTACCTAGTACAAAAAAGGAGGGTATAATATGGGTTACCATTTTGATTATTCTGTACCTATATCCTAAACATTGACAGCTAAAATAAAATATTGTTACGTTTGTTTATTTTAGACAACAGTTTATTTGTTAATAATTTATTTGAACACTTATTTATTTTAAAACTGTACTATTCTAATTTATATATATTTCGAATGTCTTTAAATTATTCAATATTTATCTTTATAAGTCTTTGAATACGACTGACTGTCTGTATTATTCCACTAATATTGATAAACACATTTAAATTTCTGGTGAATATATAGAATCCTTTTGCCAAAACTAGAAACATTATCACATTCGTTCTGGAAAGTAATCGAAACCGTCTTCACCATAGTCATCACATATGTTTGGTATTAAGTAGTTTAATTATGATAATCAAACAAGTTGAGTCCCAAGGGCCAAATAAGACAGAGAGAGACCTGGAGGATTAAAGCATGACTAAATAATGAAATGGCTTGCATTACATTGCCCCTTCCTTAAGAGATAGTTCCTCCTGGAACTCTTACGAAACTAAAATGGAATGGTTCTATCTACATCTGAACCCTCTTTTACAATTTCCAGTAGCATGGAAGTAACAAGAGACTGTCTTCGCTGTAACCTGGACACTGGGCGAATGGCTGCAGACCAGTATTTGAACTCCGGTATCTTGAAAGATTCTTGCATTATGTTCATAATGATCCTCCAATCCAGCTGATTTCCTTCTATCTTCGACATGGCTAGTTTCTGTATATTGGACTCCAGTACGTACTCCCTTAAACTAAGTATTGCTTCTCATACATATTAATAAGATAGAAAAGGTAGCGCGATTCGTCTTGAAGTTTCAATGCCTTTCCAGGGGCTGGTGACTGATATTGAAGTTCTAGGAATCGACCGAAGAGGTGGTAACATTTCTTACATCAGTCCTTTACATCGTCGGAACTGTTTATCCAGTAAACCCTTCCCTGAACTTTCTGAAGGGTTTTCTTAACACCAAGATGTCCTTCTGCTAAACTGTCGTGTAACTGACGAACTACTTCGGCGCTACTCTACTCTTTGGAACGACCAACTGTCTTCTGTTTTTGGAACCATTATTATTTTCAAGTACTCGCTTTAATAAGCCATTTTCTAGAATAAAAAAAATCTCATTGAGCCAAATATGACTTGAGTACTGGAGACAAGTAGGTCGACAATTTTCCTCTTTCCATTGTCGCATCTTCTTTAAAACGGTATTGTTTTCTTGTTTTTCCCTAATTTTAGCAGGGGCCCCACTTATCGTTGACTACAGCTGTTCTTATTTGTCCACTTTCTTTGGATTCCGCTTTATTGCAGTGGGACCACTCTGCTGGACATGGTTTTCTAGAGAGAGAATCGGCATTTCTGTGGCTTGTTCCGGTTCTATGTTCGATCTTACAGTCGTTTAATCCATCTGGCGATTTGTCCCTCCGGGTTTTTGAATCGGTCGTCACCGGTGTCAATTTTGTGTTTTACAACAGAAGTTCTTCCTGTTTTTCCTCCTTTTGGTACAAAAATGTCACGATATCGTCGCAATCATTTGATCAAATTTGTTCTTGGAATTATCAGTAGTTGTTTTCTGACTAATTATGGAAGTTACTGGTACACAAATTCCAATTCTGGTCTCTATTTTGATGGTAATTAGGTGATCATTAACGTTTATAGGACGAACTGAAATCTCTTTAGCAGTCGTAACCAACCCCTTTTCAATCAGAATTCCTCGTCCAACCTCTTTATCGTGGTTCCAAGGTTTCATCTTTACAGGTGTTCCTACTTCCATAGTTTCTTAAAGCCGTGCTACTTTAACGGTTTCACTTTTTCCAGGTATCACCGTATCCTCCTGTATAGCAACTGGCACGGTACTGTCCCTATACGAATGTAGGAATACCTCTTCGGCAACAACTTTGATCACTCTGTTTTTAAAATCTAACTGGAAACCATGTTAGTTCATTACATCCATTCCAAGCATAACATCTTCGATATCAGCGACAATAACAGTATGATTAAACTTTTCTGTACCAATTCCCAATTGAACTTAAATTTCCCCATGAATGTTGGCAATTTCACCTGTGGCAGTCCGCAGTCGCAATCTTGTTGGTAGAAGCCCCTTACGGTTATTTATGGTTATTGGTCGTATATTGGTGTTAGTTGCTCCAGTATCTACCAACAGTATATACTTTTTACCATTTACTTCCCTGTCTACGTATACACTATCTTATTTAAGGCTCTTTATCATGTTTACCAGTTGGTCGATTTTACCTTCCTCTTCTTTTTCTTTTACAAGCCTTACTTTATTATATCCACCAGAAGCCTGCGCAGCTACCTCATATTCAAGGGCAGCGGACAAGACATTGACGAATGGTTTATGACGGGCTAGACAAAGTGTTTCACTTAGATAAAAGAAACAACAGATGAAGCATTTTATTCTTAACGTATTATTTGTTTGGTAAAGAGAAAGAATATATTTTATGTGAAGTGAAAGAAGACAGACTGTAATCCTAGATCTCGTCTGACAACGCTGCTGTTACATGCAGCTAAAAGTATGTTGATACCAGTGGCGTATCTTATTAGTGATAAAATCATAATTCCTGGTTTTTGTGCGAAAGAGATTATTAATTTGCAGTAAATACTAATTTTGTGTAAGTTAAATATAAAAAATAAATCATGAAATACCAACATATATGGTATGCAACAAATTTTATAATTTTTTAAACTTTAAAATTATAAGCAACATACAGAATCAGCTGACAAAAATCCTTTAAACTCTCCTTGCAGGTATTATGATTTTTTTGTTCTCAACCTGAGATAAAGCCGACACTAGGTTTTGTATAAGCTTATGAGGCACGTAATTATTAAAGATAGAATATTGCATAAACAAACATTAAAATAAACTACGAAGTGTGAGTAAATACATTTAAAATATTTAAAACAAAGGATCTAAATCACAAAATAAAATTAATTTATCATAAATATGTATTTTAAGAAACTGGATTGATTTACATAAAGCTCTTTTTTAAAAAAGTTACTTGCTTAGTTTAATTAAACACCCTCATTGCCATCTTATACATTTTTTACTCATCATCGTAGCTTATTAATTAAAAAAATAAAGTTATTCGACCGAATTATAAACCAACAGTTGCTTTGGAAAGACCGTTGACAAACGACGAACACCGGGGAAAAGCCTTTATACCAACACTTCATTCTTGTTTGCCTTAAGGTCGTTTTGACAATAAACTTTTCCGTATTTTTTTCGAATCGCTTTCAATTTTTCTTTTACCAAAGACCCAGTTTCTTTTTAATTAAACCGTTTAATAAATTCAGAACAGCCTAATTTAATTTAACGTATCCAGATTCCCTCAAACAACTCAAACCAAACGAGTTGTTAGCGCACTGACAGTGGCGGGCGAAAATGACATTTCATAAAATAAAATGAATACCTTGTGTTTGCTATTTGTTGTGTTTGAATATCCACATTGGATGCATCTGAAATGTTGTGAATCTTTGATCACGTGATTCAGTATACATACAAATGTAGTAGGATAGATATGTCCGATATAGATAAACAAAAGTCGAGATGTAAAAAATGAATTGGATGTGGATATTCAAACGCAGTAATTATCTTTACATTTGATTATTTTAAGTAATACTTGAAGAGGGTTTGCCAAGCTTTTGAATGTATAAAAAACTTTCAATGATATTCTAAGCTGAAGCTAGTTGCGCATTTGCTAGAATCTACAATACCTAGGAAATTCAAACCACATTAAGGGCCGATTTCATAATGAATATTAAAAGTTCCATTTTATGAACATAATTGCCCCATTAGTTAACCTTTAACCGCTACCTAATGGTATCTCATATCGCCACTGTTAAATTTCTCGCCCTAATTTTAAAAATTTTTAGATTTTAGTACCTTTCAAACTTTTTAGTATCTTAAAAGCTCTGAAGTTACCAATTGAAGAACGTCAGAAGGTGGCCATCTTCACAGATTTCCTATCATCAATTTAATCTATCCAGGATATTTTTTCTCAACATCCGCTAGTTAAAGATATTCATGAATCTCTCCAAACGGTATATAAAATATTAAATTTGTGTTTCAATTATTTGGGTATTGAAAGCAATGAGATAGTAAACCATTACGCCAAAAAGCTATTACAAGTGACATACCTATAGAAAACATTCAATTATTTAATTGAGTCAGTCTCTGGTACCTAAAGTTATCTGTTATGAGTTCAGGCAAATAAAAGAAATTTAATACATTTAATAAAAAGAATGCAATCACACATTAAATTAATAATTAACGGCTATTGAAAAGATGGATGATATTGAAAGTTGATATTTAAATTGATTCTTTGTTTCAACCATGTGGCATGATATAGCGGCACTTCCTGTTAAATCGTTTACTGGGTAGATAGAGTCTGTCCGATACTTTAAAGTTACTTGGGGCTAATTGGAGTTATGTCGAGATTTGGAGATATGTCCAGACTTGGTGCTACATGGAGCTGCTTTGGAGCTACTTGGAACTATTTCAAAACTTCATCGAAACTTGGAGCTGGGAGACTACTTGAGGCTACTTCGACATTACTTACAGCTTGTTTGGAGACTAGGAAGCTTCGTGAGGCTATGTAACTTGGAGCTTATTTGAAATCACGTGGAGCTTGGAACTCGGAACTCACTTGGTACTCTAAACTTCGTGCTTTGAGCTCGGATTTGGAGCTCGGACTTGGAGCTCGAACTTGGAGTCATTGACAATTACCCCAACGGTAGCACATAAGCACATACGAAAGACACACGATAATTATCTAAATCTACTCATAATAAATACAAACTAGTAGATTTGTCCACACAACAGTAGCACATTTAAGTTTGAGTTCGATAAATAAAAACGACT